TTGTTGTGCCTGGATGCACTATGTACCTGGTACGATGTGCCTCATTGAATAAGTTCCTTCTTCAGTTGTGCATTTCCCGGCATCACTAGCCGGCCTTTTATTCAAAGTCCTCCATCTTCTCTAATGTTCCAATCAGTCTTGGACTCTTTAGAAATCTCCCCCTTTCGGGTTTAAATCCAAGTGTCCTTTAGCTAAGCTCTAACCACTCTATCACTTCAAGATGGTTGCACGAACAAAGCTCTAAAAAAATGTGTTGTTCCTGCCTATCTCTGGTCTAAAGTCGAACTGGTTAAGTGTGTGGAGATCTCGATACAACAAACACCTCAAAGCCAAAATCCGATGACGACGCTTCCTGCCCAAAGCGTCTGTTACGACGTACGACTTCCTCAGATAGTACTGAATCATGAACTCGTGAACTGTAATAAATTCAACTCATCTCCGTTGTCTCAGATTTTACTCTTTCTAAGAGAAGAGATACTTCAAACTCTGATGATCCGTGAATAGCTCGAACTGCACTCTATATAGGTAATGTCTCCATATCTTCAGTGCCAAAACTATCTCAACTAGTTCCAAGTCACGTGTGGTATATTTTTGCTCATGGGTCCTCAACCGATATGAAATATTTGCTACCACTCTATGGGTCTGCATCAAAACACCTTCTAGACCCAGTAACGACGCATCCGTGTACACGACAAAGGTCTTATCACTACTCGGGATGGTCAAAACTGGTGTTGTAGTTAACTTAGCCTTCAAAGTCTCAAAGGCCTCATGGCACTTCGTGCCCCAAACAAAAGGTACACCCTTCTTTGTAAGGCGTGTAAGTGGTGTGTCTATCTTTGAGAAGTCCTGAATGAACTTCCTGTAATAGCCGGCCAAACTCAAAAGCTACGAATCTTTGTGATTGTCGGTGGCGGCTCCCAATCAAGTACGATCACGACGTTAGCTCGATCCACTACAATACCTTCTCTATCGATGACATGGCCCAGAAATCTAACCTCAGATAGCCAAAACTCATACTTGCTGAATTTGGCATATAGCCGATGCACCCGTAAAATTTGTAATGCTAGTCGAAGATGTTGCTCGTGCTCTACCTCCGATCTCGAATATATAAGGATGCCGTTGATAAATACTATCATGAACTGGTCCAAATATGGATGGAAAACCCGGTTCACCAAGTCCATGAATACCGCGGGTGTATTGGTCAGTCCAAACAACATGACAAGAAACTCGAAGGACCATAACGACTTAGAAAGGTAGTCTTCGGAATATCTATCTCCTGAACCTATAACTGATGATAGCCTGAACAAAGACCAATCTTCAAGAAGTGTTGCACTCCCTATAGCTGGTCGAACAAGTAATCAATCCTCGATAATGGATACCTATTTCGGATAGTGACCTTGTTCAACTCCTGATAATCTATACAAAGATGCATATTATCGTCCTTCTTCTTCACGAAAAGGACCGGCGCTCTCCACAGAGAATAACTCTGGCGAATAAAACCCTGAGACAACAACTTATCCAGCTGAGTCTGTAGCTCCCTTATCTTAGCAGGTGCCATACAATAGGGAGCTCGAGATATCGATGTTGTGCTTAGCTGCATCTCGATGTAGGACTCAACCTCTCACATAGGAGGTAACCCCGATATGTCCTAAAAGGCATCCTAAAAATCTATGTCGACTCTAGTCTCACACAACTCAGCACTTCGATCTCTCAGCATCACCTCCTTAATATATGCCAGAAATAACTTTACAAACTGGTTGCTCTATGAGGTCGCTACAATCAACTCAAACCCATCGGACGCTCGCAAACAGACTGTTTTCGCAAAACAGTTGATGCTAACATGGTAGTATGATAACCAATCCATACTAAGAATGATGTTGAAATCCGACATCCACAAAATGATTAGATCAAAAAAAACTCCGACTCATCTAAGCTGATGACACATCTCCTACAGACGCTCCCTAATAGAGATACCTCCCCTAAAGGAGTAGAAATGGATAGCGGTACATCTAAGGGATGTGCGACTAACTGAAGCTTATCCATAAAGGCATCAGATATGAAAGAATGGGAAGCTCCAGAATCAAACAGGATCTGAGCTGGAAAAGAGTTCACTAAGAAAGTACCTTTTACTATAGCTCTGCTCGCATCATGGTCACGTGGTACGACTGCATAGACTCTGCATGTGGCTGGCGACTGCTTAACTACTGGTGGTGGAAATACGATAGCAGTGAAAACCGCCAATTTGTACTAGCTACTCGATGGAAGATTTTGATGTTAAGTGATCACGGCTTAACATGTCAAGTTTGAAAAACATTGAAGATTGGTTGATAGAAGTTTTGGAGGACCCACCGTCAATTGATTTGATCAGTGGGGGTTTTGTGGAGAAGATTGATTTGTCAAAATGGTCCAATCTTGTCTCAGCAAAAGAATTCACGAGAGTTGGTGAATTCGATGTTAATAACAAGATATGTTCCAGCTTTGAAAACATTCAAAATCCAAGTATGGATCTCTTATTTATCATTTTTTGTAGTAACTGGGTTATCCCTAAAAATACTACACGTAGTATTCTTCTGAGAACTTCCTAATACATGGGTTATCTTGAATGTACTAAGGGTAGTATTTTTGCAAGAACTTACCATTTATCGGCATCATGAGCTGGGCGCCTTCCTTGGTGATATGGCGATATACGCCGTTCAAATAGACTATCTCTACCACAAATGGTTCTTCCCATTTAGCTTCAAACTTGCCTTTTTTCTTGGAATTAAGGATCATTGGTCGTTGGACAGCTAAGACCAAGTCCCCTTCTCTAAAACTCCATTGTCGAACCTTCTTGTCAAAAGCTGTTGGGCTTCCAAGTGCTTTTCATCAAGCATCTCGAGTTCTTCAAGATGTTTCTAATGTTGTTCTTCAGTCGTCATTTCCGTTGCGAGAGCGATCCGAATAGATGGAATTTGGATCTCCAATGGAAGAACTGCTTCACACCCATACACTAAAGAATACGGGGTTGCTCCAGTAGGCGTGCGAACTATGGTACGATACGCACATAGAGCTTCGCCGAGCTTATCGTCCCAATCTCATTTGTTAGTCTTTACGAGTTTTGACAAAAGTTTTATGATAGTCTTGTTGAAGGCTTCAGCCAATCCATTTTCTGTGGGGTTGTAAGCTGTCGACGAGACATCTTTAATTTTAAACTTCTCGCAAAATTTGATGAAAACATTACTGACAAACTGAGGACCATTGTCATGTATGATTTGCCTCGGGACACCATATCGATAGATCATATAGTGTTTGATGAAGGTCATGACATTGCTCGTCTTAACTTCTCTGAGCGGAATCGCTTCAGCCCATTTGGAGAAGTAATCGGTAATTGCCAGGATGAATCGGTCGCTTTTGACCGACGGGGGAAAAATACGACCGACAATATCCATTCTCCAAGTCTCAAAAGGTAATGACGTAGCCAAAGGGTGTAGATGCTCCGGGTGTTGATACATATAATTCGCGTGTACCTGAACGCATAACACTTTCGGGCATACGCGACTACATCTTTGATCATGGTTAGCCAAAAGTATCACATCCTTCTGATACGGTCATAAAGTTTGGGACCAGGTTGATGTGCACCACAAACTTCTTCGTGCGTCCCCTTAATGACCACTTCCACTTCTTTAGTCGATAGGCAGCGTAATAGTAAACCATCGTACCCTCGATGATATAGCATTCGACTCTCTGTGTTATAGTAGAATCTTGGTGCTCTCCGTCGAATTGAGTTTTCGGGACACAGGGATCTGTTTTGGAACTGTGCGGTCGACCGCGGCACAAGACCGGTCGACTGCGAACGTGCACAGGCTCATGTATGAGTCTGGATTTGGCGCGGTCGACCGCCGCGGTCGACCGCCAGACCCTGTAATGTATTTTTGGGCTCTATTGTTTGTCGCGATCAACCGCCGCGGTCGACCGCCAGACCCTGTAGGAGTTTCTCCAGGTTCTGTCATTGGTCGCGGTCGACCGTGACGGTCGACCGCGTAGCGGGTCAGGTCCATGTTTGGTTTCCTGTTCTTATTAGGTTTTGGTGTTTGTATAAATACCAATATACGTTTCTAGGTTTTCTAAGGCAAGAGTTTGGGAAATTTGGAGTAAGGTATTTTCTGAGCTATTTGATTAGGGTTTATTTGGAGAGATTAAGAGCTTTGTTGGTGAGATTAGTTTGTTCTTTCGAGTGATTTGTAATCTCAAGTTGTACTATTCTTCTCTATTAGTGAAAACCTCATCACCTTCTTGTCCCGTGGACGTAGGCAATTGCCGAACCACGTTAAAAATTGGTGTTTTGTTTGTGCATTAACATTGGTTGGTTTTGGCCCTCTTTGATCGGCGTTTGGTTTGGTTCCACGACACGGGGTTGTTTTTGCCCAACAGGATAGTATGCTCCCTAAGATTCGATTCGCCATGGATTTTGGCCCCATATGATTTCCTATGTAGTAAACTTTGAAAAGATTTTTTACCATGAGTGGACTTTCGAAATTCAGCCGGATTTCATGCAAAACCTGTAAAGTTCAGAGTCAGGGTGCTTGAAAATTACGTTTTTTTTCCGCATCCGAGAATAATTTAGCTTGAGCACAAGATCTTTTGCCCACAGGTTTCTGAAGCAAGAGGCTTTAGAGCTAGCACTCTTAGAGGTTCATCTATTTCATATGATGTTGCTGTTACAGCAGAAGAGGAGGAAGAAGAAATAACCATTCACCTCTAGGTGAGCCAACCACAACAGCAAACTGAAACAATGAAGATATAAGCTTTCATAAAATATTCGATGAATTATGGATGTTTTGTTTTGATCTCACTCAACACCTGCATTTTTGTACTAGTAACAACAAGATAAATACAAAACAATAATGATCATGTTTAAAACTATTACCCTTAAAACAATATTGCTAAAATAATCTGACGAAATTCTGTTTCAAGATCAGGGTTACTGTTATCAAACAAAATGATAACATTTCTCGAAGTACTTATACAAAATAACCACAGTAGAACTTAATAATCTCTATCTGTTGAAAAGGTACATGTACATCTATACTAAGACAGACTTTCAACAGTTAGTGAGAGGCTAAATTACAATGATCATATCATCCGCACTTGCAACGCCACTGAAGGCTGACCTTGGTGCAAGTATTATACAATGTATAATTTCATATTTGAACAGGCTGTAGAAAGTACGGAGAAATACGAAAGTGGAAGTTATAAGTGGAAGAAATTAAGAAGAGACTGCTATTTTCGACTATAAATCAGTAGATTGAATCTTTGCTGTCCTTAGAATCATTGTATCGGTAATTGTATAAACAGATCCTTAAGATGAACTTGTACAGTCTATTGATTGACTCCCACTAGCCTGCAAAGGACGAAAAAAAAAGTTCTTAGCAATCATGGAATGGCGCATGAAGAGTTGGAATCCACTATTACTTTGCAATGGATTTATCATAGGTTGTTGAATCTTCACAGCATAATTTGTCATTGGTGTGAAATTAATTTCTCTATTTTTATATGGTAATAAACTTATGTAGTTAGTTATGTTCCTTGTAGATACTATTACATTGAAAAACATTATAATATTAGAACATTTAGTAATATTTCTTTCTGTTTTATGACTGGAAAATTACCTTTCCTGGAAGTGGATCCTTTTGAATTAAACTGGATTAGTTTACAATTTATTGTATTTTGTACTGCACATGTAAAAGGGTGTAATTAGATTGATCATAGTAAATACTTCGAAGATAGATATAACACAACTACTAGTTCAATCTCTGAAATTATTCCAATTTCTCATATTTCTTGAATATAACTATAGTTCAATTCAAATTTCATAAGTGAAGTTGCTCACAATTGATATTTATCTCCATGAAGTGGGTATAGTTACTACTAATTGTTCACCAACTTCAGGAGTGAAAGAATTCGGTGTAAAGCTAAGTGTGTATATCACACACTGACAAAAGCTTAACCACACCTTTGTGCTAATTGTTGAATATAGCATTACTCAACCACACCAAGTTATTTGTCACAATACTTGCACAAAAGCTTAACCAACTACTCAAGTGGATATATTTAGTGCTAATTGTTGAATAAAGGATTACTCAATCACACGTTTCTTGTGTTAGATCATTTGCACAAAGGTAGACCATCTTGTCATAAAACTCTCCAACGCTAAAAACATATAGGACAACGGAAGAAATAAAAGACTACTTTTATAGTTCGTAAGCTCTATTTGCAAATAATTGAATGTGATCTATTGAAAGGTGAAGGAACTTGGGTAAGACAGAACCAAATTTATATTGATTCATGGACTGATTTCATTCCATCTGAAACTAGGCCAAAAAGGGCATTTTCAGGATATGAAATGAACTTCCATTAGAGTTGAACCAGCAAAAGGTAGAAGAGCAATTTTAGAGTTAACCTTTATTGGCAATAACGAAAATTTACATGGAAAATTTGAAATTAGAACCCTTCACTAAGAGATATTTGGAAAAAGTCATGAAGAAACTTAATGTCAGAGAAATTAGGACGAAGAACTAGAACAAATACCGACGAAAGAAAAAAAAATTAATAAAGTAGAAGTATAGAAGTGTTTCTCCATATAATAATATTAACAGATATTACTTTATTGGAAATTCGTTGAAGTAGCAGGTTGTTTGTTTTGTCTGGTTGATGTAAATATTGTAGAGAACCTTTCTGGAAGAAAAAAAATAAGAAAAGAAAAAAGAGAAGAATACAATGTATATGTAACCTGTTAGTTAAACAGCATGCAAAGCATTTCTAGCCAAAAAGTATGGATGTAAATGGAAGCTCACTAATGATGCATTTAGATATTTGTGGCACCACTATTCTAGATTAATCATATCATATTAGCCAATAAACTTGTAAGCACACAGATCACTAGTAAACAGTGAGAAATGATTAAATTAAAAGGAATCTGAAGCTCAGTGCTACATCATGCCTATTGATAAGTATCTGTTAGTTATTTCTACCTGTACACAGCATTTTGACCAGTTCGAGATTTCAGCTGAAAAACCTGCAATGGACCTGTGCATGCAACCAGACAGGGAATGCTAAAACTGAAATTTCATTAGAAAACAATAATTCTAAACTAATCATATGAGATGCTGAACTATCTCCAAGAGTAATTCCCTTCTAACCAGTAAGACAATAAGTTTAAAATGCCACAAATTAGTTTTTAGATGGAGCTCACTATATGATCCACAGTTAAAGATCAATATATTATAGTCTTAAATAAGCAGTGTCGTACTTTTATTTGTTTTCATGATGTAATATTACAATGTGATAAAAAAGCCTAAGACTAAGATATTGAAGGCTATGTCCATAATACTATATAAAACTGTAATATTACAATGTGATAAAAAAGCTTAAGACTAAGATATTGAAGGCTATCTCCATAATACTAAATAAAAATATAAAGAGTAAGGAAGTTAACTATATCTTACCCAAAGATCATCAAGCATTGGGCACAGTTTTGTCAAGAAGATATCACGTGCAAGTCAGATGACTGCTTAACCGAACAAAGTCATAATGGTAGTTTAAACCAGAAAATTCATGGTATTAGTTAATTAGAATAAACGAATTACACGATAGTTTTTAGAAAGAATTAGTTATCATTTCTCAGAAACTTCCCTCAAGACCTCATGCTCGTTACCATGTAACTAACATAAAAATAGTGCATGCTGATTCCTAAACACGCAATGGGCCAACCAAGTGCTCTTTACCATATAACTAAATGTAATCCATATAACTAATGCAAAAATAGTACATGCTGATTCTTAAAAATGCAATGGCAACGATATGCTCTTTACCATATAACTAACGTCAAAAAATAATTAGCTCATGTTGATTGTTATTTGAGGTCAAGAAAATGTTATTTTCATAAGTTTTCAACTTCAGATAAATAAATTCCTTATGAAATTACCTCATTTTCTTAACTAGGATGAATGAATAAATGTTTAAATACACAAATAGTACACACGTGTCAAATCAATCTGCGAAGATAAGGATGTGGACTTTGACGTACATGTAGCTAGACTCAGGCACAACGTGGAACATGTTGCATGAGAGATCAATTGTATTAACTGTCCCTTACCTGTTAGAGATCAGAGTATGTGGGAGATTACGATTCCGTCCTCTGTTTTAGATAATGATCTATTGAACTCTTTCTAATGAAATAGTCTGGGACTATTCTTCATTGGTCCTCTACGAATAATATGGCAAGTCAGCAGCCATTAGAAATCAGCTGCTTGATGTTTTCGCGTAAAAATTCATCCAACTACGCTTCAAGAGTACTCAAGGGTCTCATTGAGTGCTCTATAGTACTGTATAACTCATCTCAAAACAAAAAACATTTTTACTTTGGATATTACTTTCATTAAAGCATGTGCTATTTACTCACTAGTTCTGGCAGAGGGAGGCAGCAAGCTTGAGGCAACAATTGCATAATCTACAAGAAAATCATTGGTACCGTTCTTTTTCCCTAAATTGACATCAAAATAAAAAATCATGTTAGAAGTGCATTCATGCAAGTATTCGAAACAAAAATAGCTATCTAATGTGTTATATAATTAAGGGAATTAATTTGTTGACGTCAATTTGAAAGATAAACATATGAATGAGCACTATCTGCGATAACAACCTAATAACTTGATTAGAACATAACCATTTTGATATTGCACGTAAATTATTTCAATTTATATTTTTTTTACCACCATTACTTCAGTGACAAACTATCTCATTCATGACCATTAACTTTCCTAATTAAGCCAAACTCTTCAAGGAATGTGAAGAATAACGAAACAGAGAAAGAAACAGAGAAAGAAAACCCACGTACGGTCACAAAGTGGTGATCATAACAGCAAATTATCTATACAAATAAAACAGCCATTGAAGCCTGGTTAAATAGCAAAGTGGTGAGAACTTGCGCGATCAAAGCCATAACTAACCATAAAACCTCAAACAAATTAAAGGTCACACACCAGATTTTGGGAGCCTAAAGAAACATCAAGTGGAAATAAAACCTTTGATCATACCAGACATCTCAGTACTTTCTTTTTTTTTTTTTAAGTAAATCTTACACTACGTTGAATATTGGATAAGTGTTTAAGAAGTAGATTATGTGATCAACTTACTTGTGTGAAAATGACTGACCCAAATTGAAGCATTATAGAGTACTTGGCGGAGCTTATTTTCTGGTCAAAGTAGCTTATAAGCCAGGTTTTTTATATGTACATGTTTGTAATGTGATGCCCCAACATTAGTCCCACATGGGAAAATGATCCACCAAAACATTATCAGTACAATAAAGTGAGAGCAACCTCTATCAGAATCATTTCATTCCTTTGAAATCAAAGGGACTTGTAACTGAATATGCCCAAAGTTCCCCTACCTATACAGATCCATTCATCAACATTTTGATCTAGCTTTTGCATTCACCAAATCTATTGTCATAACTCTATTTTTAACTTGATCCTCAACATATAAATAGAACTTGTATTTATTTCTATTTTTGAATCATAACCAAGTGTCTATAGACCATTGCCTGGAGCACTCCTTTGCTTTGTGGCGCATCCAACTTCCCAAATATGCTCATCCTGAGGATTTCGTTATCCTGGAGCACTCCTTTCCATTCATCAATCATTGAAATTGCTATTAGGTCCCTCATATCGTCTAAGTAGTTCGAAATTAGTCTCTCTACTAAGAAAACCATCCGATCTCTTAACCATGGTTAGGTTAATGCTTAAACATGGATGTTAGTTACCAAAATACCCTCACTTCTTAACTTCCCCTCCAAACTGGACTTTTGCCCTCTCCATCTTTGTTTCCCTAGCAACTCCAACTCCTATGTTGCAGACTATAAATACGCTTCATGTTAGCTCCACTACCAGAAACTCCATGGAGGATGAATTTGAATGCAAATACTCCATTAGAGAGTTTCTGACATATTAGGATAAAATATTGATTAGAGAGGGCTTGCTAGAGGAGAATCAAGGGGGCTTTGTACAACCAATAAGAATTAGCCATTGCAAAAAATGGATTTGGGGAATGAGATTACAGTTCGAGAAGATGACTTTTAAATGATGGCTTTTTGTTATAATAAAACTGAGTTTGTGTAAGCGAATAAGGTTTTAGATGGGTAATGGGTTTGGGGTTATAATGTAAGGTGTATAAGTTTCAATCGATCCCAAAAGTTAAAGTTAATGGAATATTCCCCTCCCATTCCAGTTGCTGCTAAGTAGGGTGCCTGATTCCAAAATATTTAGAAGATTTGGAGGATCTAACAGCAATCTGACAGATCAATATTAGAAAGTAACCATCAATATCTTCTTAAACCAATAAATATGCCTAAGTAAGGCTGCCTTATAACAATCCTGTCTTAAAATTAAAAATAAATAACCATATGCCTTCTCACAAGATGCTCAGTTAAAGTTGAAAGTGATATTTATGGACTGCCAATATATGGAAGACAACATACAAACAGGCTCTAGCAAAATAATAAAGCTGATAACAAGAAAATTTTAGACATATAGTTTACCTCATTAAGCTAAGAGTCTTGTTAAATAGCACTGGAAGGCCAAAACCTGGAAGAAATCAGAAAAGTTATCATTTCATGCAAAATTTCTCAGTAAATAGATAATAGTTCAGGTTGAATCTTTGGTAATTAACTTTGAAATAATTGGAGAAATGACCATAGTCCAAAGTGTATATAAGAAAACTAGAGAGAAGTGAGATTGCTTGAAATCTCTTAACCAAAGAACAATGGTAACCCAAAATAAATAAATAAATAAAAGTAAACTACCACCTAAACTTTGAGTAAAACAATCATGTGCGGGATTTCTTATAAAAGCAGCAGTGATCTAATAAATTAATTTAGACATGTTAGAATGTTTGCATCCATTTTCCAAACTCTTAACATGAGAAATGGTCTTAATGGAATTCCTCACTTAATCAAAAAATATACATATAGTCTATAGTAACTTTTTTCAGTAAACAGTGGTATCTTATAAGTAAACAATCATGTTTGAGCAATAATAACATTTGCAGGGCGGAATTCTTCGACACGCGTTGAGCAGTAAGGATTCCTTTAAGTTATAACGAGTCTTCAGAAACAATTCTATTTTCTTAGAATCATTATTGCAAATTGTATAGTACTACCTTGATATCAATCTAATGAAACTCACATTGATATACTGTTTAGTAGCGGGGAAAAAATAATTTTATCTATATCCGCATCTGTTAGCATATGAGCATGGTTACTAAATATCTTTATCCGATAAAATATTGTTATAGATACAGAGATATGTAGTCAAATACCCAAATCCAAAACAGAAACATCCAAATTACATGTTGCACGTGGACTTTCAATAGTTTTAACTCCTTAGATTGACGGTTTTGAGGTTAATTTAACAATCAAGAGATCTAATTTTAGCTTTTCAGATATAGCGAATGTAGTAAATGAACTCTCTTATATCATTTTTTTCATTTTCTCAATCCATTTCGTATCCGCATGGATATCCGCATTTATGTCTGCATGAATATTTGTATTTGTATCTGATTTTAGCAGATATGTATATGAATTTTCCTTCCGAGGCATATTTTTACCTGTATCCATTGACTATAGATATGTTAAGTACCATATCTAAGTCATGTCTTGTAAAACCCTGCAAATTTGAGATAATATGTGATTAATTGTGATAAGTGCATATTTCTTGTGGTAAATATCATTAAATGGTGTACGAGTATGATAACAAGTGATTTGAGATCGAACAAATTCATATATGTGAAAGAATCAAGTTTAAAACATGCACATCTGAAAATACTCTGGCCGATCGACCGCCGCCCAAGGCCCAGTCGACCGACATTGGATTTTTCAGAAACCCAGTTGCGGTTAGATTTTGGATCTTTT